GATTTTTTTATCCTTTTTTGTATTTGTTCTTCTATCTTAGTAGTGTTGAGAGATTTATCTTCTAGCTCACTAGTTCTAGCTTCTATTTCTTCAATTCTATTCCTTTGCCCTTTCAATGTATTGTCCATTTCTGATATTCTATTATTAATCGTTTGGACTTCTTTCTGTAGGTTTTGAATTGTTTCCAATGCACTATCTATGTTATTTGATTGTTCCTGTAGTACTTTCCTGACTTCTTCCCTTATTTTTCTCAACTGCTTTGTATAGTGTTTTGATGCCTTTTATAATCATTTTTAGGAATTCCTTCTCAGGCATTTCCAAAGCCTGCCCATCTTGTAGTATGGAGTGTAGGTCTACTTCCAGCTCATTTGCCTAAGTCACTTTATCTCGTTTCTGGACTTGTGCAGATATGGTCATCTGCTTCTGTTTTTTGGGCATCTTCAGGGGTTACCTGTGGACTTAATACTTAGATGGGTATGTATTTTGGTATTTTTTATGCTTTCTGAATGCCTCCAGGTAGATGTGATCAGGAAATGAATACTCCATTATCTTTTAATTCTGTTTTTCTGCACACTTTCTGAAACCCCCTTATATATGCTTTCTGTCACATCATATTAAATAAATATACCAACTATAATTACAATATAAAAATACTGAATCATTTATATAAAACTGTAAGTTGAAAAGTACTGCTATTAGTGTTCCAGTTCATATGTGCAGTTTTATTCCACGCAGAACATGTTTAAATATGTCCCTGAAATCAGTGGATTGTTGCAGGCAAGGTCTCTCAGTAATATTCTTGTTTTTGTCTTTTCTTTCATCATTATTGTCTGTCATCAAGTCGGTTCAGATGGTTCTGACTCATAGTGATCCCTGTATAGGGTTTCCGCGGAGCAGCTGGTGGATATGTGAACTGCCAACCTTGCGGTTAGGAGTCCAGTGCTTATCCTACAGCACCACACTAGTGCCTTTATGAAAAAGGATACTTTTTGAGACGTGGAAAAACTGATATAGAGGTCAGAGCTAATATCAAAACTATAGTGGACATTTCCTCAAATAATTGAAGCTTTGCAGCACGTTTTTGGAAATACACTACTCCACATAAAACAAGAATTTTTAAATGAATCAAACATTTTAAGGAAGATTGTAAAGACCTCAAAGATGAT